TAACCAGACAGAAGAGTGAGAGTAGAGTCTTCATGATTCCTTTCCTTGATAGAGAGTATTCCTTCTTGTTGTGAGATGATTTCTTGTTTTAGTGAGAAGCGATTGACTGCTGCTGGTCACCTCCTTATATACTATTAGGTACCTCATCAATATTTATCAGTAACTGACTGCTGTACTGATGGATTTCCTACAAAATCTATCATTCATTAATAAAACTGTCATTGGACAACAGTGAATAAGACATTTGAGTATGAAATCATTTATACTACTGATAGATTAACCTTTTAAAATTCAAAATTGAATTATAAGCAGGCTATGAGAGACATAGTGACCAAGAAAAATCATTTTTAAGCTTTATTAATATGTGCCATAGAAGCTACTGTTGATCATTTGGTAAAAATGTTGCCAACTTTGATGTTGAATTATAGTTAAATATTGCCCAGTTTGAAGCCAACATTACCAAATTTTATGTATAAATAAAAGTTTCCACCCACATTGATGTGAAAATTCCCGCCTACTTTGAAGTACAAGTTAATTAAAATTACCATAACGATGATTAAATTTATTATGCTACAAAACATTGTTTTTGATAATAATACAATGCAATAATAATAAATGTATGTGCATGTGCAGTACAAAATAATAACAATAAATAATAATAATAATAACAAAAATATAATATAAATGAATGAAAGAGCAAAAATAATGTAAATATGCATAAATTAATAATAAGAAAAAATTGATAAAGACAAAATTTACAGTTACATTGTGAACATCATTCAAATGTTATCTAACAAGATCAATAACAGCATGCAATTGTCCCTTTTCCTCTTTCAAAGTTTATAACTTGATATACTGCCTCTTTCACCACTGTCCTATAGGAGACAATACCGTAATAATGTTCACATATACACAACAAGAGTCACAGTACATCAACATAAATACAGGTACATGTACCAGAACATAGAGATACACTGTAAATGTGTTAGTATTATAATGGTAAAGAGAGAGAGAGAGAGAGAGAGAGAGAGAGAGAGAGAGAGAGAGAGAGAGAGAGAGAGAGAGAGAGAGAGAGAGAGAGAGAGAGAGAGAGATAATTTACTGATTTTGTAGAGGCAAGGCTGGTCAAACTTGCACTTTTCTGGAAAAATAACAAAAATAATAAATAATTAAATAAATTTGAAGTACCTTCGAGAAAAACCCTAAGAATCCTTTCTTGGAGTCCCTGGGAGTGGGCGGGGTCGAAGGGCCCCAGGTACTATCACTGTTGTTTCTTCCGCGAGCCCTACGAGTCAAAGTTGGAGACTCAAAGTCCTAAAGAGGAAGGAGATCAAATAGAGAGAGAGGATTATCATACTTTACTTTACATACTGGTTTTATCATACTGGTACTTTAGTATCATCAGTACTTGTACCAAACAACCTTTAGCAATTTGCTGAAAATTCACCATCAAAAGTACTGTATTTAATTATGACTAAAATACTTATTTACTTTATTTATTTATTATTATTATTATTATTGTTAACCTGGTGAGATTCATATCCAGACTCGTGTCTATGTCCCCGTTGTTGACCCCTCCCATCTCTCCTCTCCTCGTCCTGACTGTCCCCACTGGGTGACCTGTGCCTACTGTGATACAATGGACGCTCCTTTGACCGGGACTGATGGTATCTGGAATATAATGAGAATACTTTAAGGTTTTCAATACATGTACATGTACATGTACTTATGTTGTGTGGAAAGTTTGAGCTAATCCCAATCAAGTTTGGATTTAAAAATTTTTTTGAAGTTTCTTAAAAATCCAACAAAAGTCCCTGTACTATAGTACAGGGTCTCTGGCCAAATTTTGCCAAAAATGTAAAGATGAGAATTCTCCATTTTTATTACATTTT